ACTTTGTTGCTACTGATATGCAAGCAAGGGAGAGATGGAGCGTATAGGCTTGGTATGGAAGAAATGATGGAAGGCGCCACAAGACAGATAAAGAAAAAAAAGGTAGGAGGTATTTTGACGTTATTAGCTGTAACCCCCAGTTTAGCGGGAGATGAGAGCCAAGCAGGCAGCCACGAGGTAAAGGAGCCGGGGCCCTTTCTCCCTTTGCCATGACAAGGCTGGCACCCGGTGGCCGAGGCAGAGATCGCGCCTCCCCAAACTGACTTCCAGCATCGGGGGGGCACCCGCGGACGCAGAGCTGCCGAGGGAAGGGAAGGACCCAGCCAAACACACTCCGAGCTAGTTTTGGTTATTCCTTTCTATATTTTCTCACAGTCGTGTGGCTGGAAGACCAGGAATTAATTTCACCAGAAAGACTGTAACTTTTTTTAGATGGCTTAGAGTAAGATGAACACCTCACACCTTTTATTTCTAAGATTTCCAGAGTACTTAAAAGACAGATAGCAGGGAAAATACTCATATACAAACCCAACCACCCTGAATGTCTCAGCACCTAATTCCCTTTTTTAGGCTTGTCAAGAAATAGAACAACGCATAGGCTAAACACTAAAGAGAAAGCCACTACAATAAACTTTTTCCTGGCAAGTTTATTTGCTGGCATTTGTAAATCCACTGAGACAGTGTAGTGCAATCAATACAGCTGAGGCCCAAGTTCTAATTACAGCCTTCTGTTTGAAAACAGCTTTTCTTTAAACACTACGTGGCTAGTGGTAGCAATAGAATATTCCCTAAAAATAAGAAAATGGTTCATTAGTGTTCATGGAAACAGAAGATCAATCTGCCCTTGTGAAAGTTAATGAATACACAGAAATATCACATCATGACCCCCGATCTCAATGCCTGAGGCAGCAGTATTATTATGCGCTCGCCAGAATTGCTCAGCAACAGGACTCAGATACAACTCTTATTGCATTAATTTTATCTGTGTGATTATTTATATTACTGACATTCTGGCTGCAAGTCACAAACTTCAAGAGATGTTCATCTGCTTAAATATTAATGATGCTTTTCTGCTGTAAGGTGTAAGAAGGCAAAGCAGAACTAAATACTAACAATTTTAAGAATAAATATTAACAACAGTACAAGCATGAAAAATAAAGCTGTTTCACTCAGACGAATGCTGAAACAACCCACTTAAACCGCTACCCTCCCTCCCTCAAGGAAGCAAAAATTATTTTGTTAAATCTTGGTCAAGCAAAAAGTGCAAGATCTCCTTTATTTAAGAAAAAAAAAAAAAAAAGTTTTGAAGTATGACAAAAATACCTTGAGGTCTTGAGTGACTTTTGGCAAGTCCTTGTGTGACTCCATCTCCCTCTATAAAATGGAAATGGAGAGGATGTCAGCCATCCCATTTCTCTCAGTAGCACAATGATTTACAGTAGTTACGTTGCCCTCTATGCTATTTTAGATAATGGCATTTGCATTCTGTTACCTGTAATAAGAATGTCTAAGAAAAAGAAATGTAATTTGAAGTCTTAATATCATGATTTTTTTTTTTCCCCTAATGTACTTGATTCCAAGATTAGCCTTTTAAGATCATTACCCGCCGAGTTCTGCTGCAGTCTGGACCGTCTCCATCTACCCACTGTGCTATTACCAGTTTGCTGGTTCATTCCTGCTCAAAAGATATAACAACTTTTCTTAGCATGGATTTGAAAAGCGGGGTAAGCAGCTCTACGCTTTCTCTTCCGATCCATTCTTCTTTTACCCCTAAAACATATTCTTCCATCTCCACAATTACGGCTTGCAGATTGGTCACTGGTCTTTTGTGGGATGAAAGGGACCAGAGGGTACAGCATTTCTGTCTGCTCTTTGAGGAGCAGCCGTCTGAGAAATCGCACAGCATTACTTAGAGCTGTATGAATGGGAGAGGTTACACAGAGCCAAAGACCTGCTCATTGGGATGACTTTGCAGAACACTTTTCTGCCTTTGAAAAAGTTATCTAGGAAGATCTGTGGACATTTGAGAAAGAACAAGGTTGACTGATATAAAAGGGTGTGCTGGAATCTGGTGGAGCAACTAAAACTAGTCCATGAAATTGTTATCCTCCTTTTTACATACCGGATGAGCTCAAAAAACCCCTTGTGAAGTCCTGTTAAATTGGAGGGCCTGTGTGCAGGGCAGAGACTGGAGAAAAATATTCTCAAGGATTTGTCACACACTGATCCTTGAATCCCGTGGTCACCCTGAGCCCCACAGCTCTACAAATGGATGTGCAGCGTATTTTCTGAAGTACATCTCTTCAGAGCGTAGCTTAGTTACCTGAAGGATTTCCACTCTGCATCTGTCTTCACTGGCGTATCAGGTACCGCTGGCACCCAACTGGCACACACGATGGCATCATCATATCGCTGTCGTACATACGCAGTCTGCTGTACAGTCTAAACAACCCAACTCTAAATACAGTGAAGACCTTCCCATCACCATAAAGCCAGTAACTATAAGGGTAGCAAACCCTCTCGCTTCCTTCAGCTAATGACCTTGCTAACTAAGCAAGCCAGCCATGATGCAAAGTTAAGTGACTTAATCTGCCAGTACCACAAATTAAAACAAAGCAACTTCTTGATATTGTGTCATAAACACAGAGTAGTTCAAAGCAAAGTTACTTTTAGGCCTTTTTTCCATCCTTCAGAGACAGTTTCACTAGAAAGAGTAATATGAGAGCCAGTTGATTTAATGACCCTTCATTTAAAGGCCAATGTTAGAGTGGGGTTTTTTGTCTTCTTTGTAATTGGACTGTTCAACCACAGGTAGTCTTACTATATCAATCACTGAATGAGTGAAAGGTGAATAAAAGCATTTACTGAACTGTCGTATCCATGATAATACAACAGATGCTGTCAGCTCTAAAGGGAATACATTAGCAGAAGTAAACCTGAAAGATAAAGACCTATTAGTCATAACACGCCTTTCAATCACTTATTTATGTTAGCAGTTCAGCTTTGAAATAAAGTGAACGCAATCCTTATTTTCAATAAATTAAGCTTATCTTTGCACTATGGTGTATCTTAAGCAATGATGGCATATTGATTTTTTTCCTTCAGAAACACATTTACCTTCACCACACTCATTGGTTTGCTTCCCTGAAAGCCTCCCTCACCTGCAGTTCTGTTAGTACAACCCTTGTGGATGTAGAAACCCGCTATCTTACATTTTCCAGTGTTTTACTTCACAGTTGATAATGTGTTTATTAAACTGATATACAGATCCTAAGCCCAAACCAGTTAAAAGAGAACTTACTGCAGTGACTGGTTACTTCAGGACACTGTAACAAAAAGGCTGAATTGACTTGGAAACATCTGCTCCTTGCTTATTCCTGGAGAGAAAGTCTGTTTAATAAAGGAAGGTAAAGACATTATACAGCACACAATGCAATTCAAGAGCTGAACTATCCCAACGTGTCAGCACTGTAGCAGGGCACAGCTATTTGCAGTAGCTGAGCACGTTAGCTTGGGATCGGGCACCATACGGGACTCCAGCCGAGACCTTGCCAGCCTTAAGCAGAGCAGAAGAATTACTTCAGCTGTCTTGAAAGCTAAATGCTTTTACATTCCCTTATGACATTTAGTTGTTTTGCAGCAACACGGCCTTGTTGCCTCATGTTCCACTTGTAATCTGCTATAACCCTTACATCCATTTCTAAAGGGCTGCTGTCTTGCTTCTCTTCCCATTATGTATTTGTGTAGTCAATTAGCCTTGCTTAGAAGCAGTTGTCCCTATTGAATTTCTTCAATTTGTCCAGATCATTTTGTATTCTAATCTTGTATTCCTGTGTCCTTCCTTCCCATTTTATAGATCTGCAGTTTTAATAAGCACACTCCCTACTGCTCTGTCCAAGTGATTAACCAGGACCGGAACCAGACCCAGAACCGCACGCCACTCTGGATATCCTCCTCCAGCACTAAACACTGACAGCATCTCTGAGTACAGCTCACTGTAACTATGAGTATAGTTTTGAAATCTACTTTTAGTCATCACGTGGGTCATGATCAACGTCATGTCCTCCCAATCTGCTTTGAAACTTCATCTTCAGAATTAAAAGCCAAGCTTAAGATATTTGCTATTTTTACTCAAACCATAAGACCATTACCTCTGTCATGTGAGAAAATTAGCCTGTGCTAACTCATTCTCTACAAACATGAACAAATGTAGCTCACTCTCTACAAACCTACTCTGGCCATTGCATTCTTTTACTTTTTTTCCAGGATATCTGCTGAAAAATCAGCTGCTAACATTATACATGCCTAGATAAATGCAATTATCATTAGAATTGTATCCCATATTTTTTCAATTAAAAATATGCAGAGACCCTATTCCCCACTAGTGCCATCAAAATAAGACCTAGTCCTTAAGCTTGTTAGGTGAGCAGGAATGAGAGGGTTAGAGACGATCAGTCTGACTTGTAACCTGACAAGGCGTTCTTACTCAGAGCTCGTTAACAAAATGACTTAACTACACCTCGCTAAGCGCAGTGCTTCACTTGCATTCAGGGTAATCACAGCTTTCTATCTACAGCTGTTACACATTTCTGACCATTTGGCGTAGCACAAAGTAGTCAAGCATGCTATTTTTGAAAAGTCTGTTTGCTGTTAAATTAAGATGCTGGTGCCAATCTATGAAAGTAGTGCATAACATGGATGCTGTCACAAAACAGAGAAATCTGCTTTCTGCCACAAAATGGTCTGTGGCATTGTGAGACTCCTGTTGAATCTACTACTCTGTTTCACTAGGACACCCAATGAGCGGTTGTGTTGCTTTAGATGTGGAAGGGGCACCCAAAGCAAACCACTGACCCCCTCCATCCTTCCTTCTAGTGCCCCAGTGGCTCCACAACAGCTCTGTTCATGATGCTGATAGCGACAACAAAAAGCACTGTACCACAAATTAAGTGGAACTTTTTTTTTATTTTAAACATTTACAGAGATGGAAATAAATACAGGAAATAGAAGATAGAGAGGGTGCTTTTAAAAGAAATCAATCAAGTCTTCATCAGGCTTCAAACAGGAAAAATTGTATCCAATAGCTGCTTAAAACTGGCCACCGTTTCAAAGATCGAGGATTAGGCTGAACAATAACGTAAATAACTAAAGATAAGCATTACAACAAACAAGGGCGACACAGCTGACATCAGTGAACACACAGCTGTAATAGACAAAATGGAACCACACTACAACAAGAAGCTCTCATATATTTACAACATACCTATCATACAAAAACATTTGGAAATATTTAGGGAGTGATTTCTTCTCTGTCCAGCTGTAAGATATAAAAGAAACACTGGAGGGCTTGTTGGTTTCGTTCCCCTCCCCAATATCTACAGAATAGTTTTAACTTTTGGCAAAGTTTAAAAAAAACTTTGTATTGCAAGAATTTTTCATCCAACCTGAACTCTTCCATGTTTCCATCCTTGCTTATCATCATCACTGTCATCCACTGGGGCAGTTTGTCAGAAGACAAAGAGTCTGTAAAGTTCTTTACAGTCTTTTATCGATGGTCTGACCTGTAGGTTGGAAAAGTGTCTGTGCGATGAAGCTTCACTGGGCTAGAAACATCTTCGCCGAGTTAGATGCAAAAAACAGAACAACATTCAGTAAGACACAGGCACCTTATTCAGCATTTTATAAAGGACTATGTGAACTACAGATTACAGCCTTTTAATTAAACCTATCCCTGCTTAATCTGCTGCTCCACCTCAGAGACATCCCCACTCAGATTTTCTTTCACAGTTCCTTCAGAACAGAGATGTACAAAGCAAATTAATTTTTTAAGAGTTCTGACTTTGCATTTTAAATGAAAAATGCACTTTAGCTCACAATATTAGCATCAGTTCTTTTCTGTTCATTAGAAAAGGGGAAAAGAATCAATTCAGAAACCATAAATTCCAACTATGGCGGAAGAAAGTTTTTGCACACAAGGTTTCAGATGCCTCTACCATTTCAGTGAGTGAAATGCTGCTTCATACATCTGGAATTACACAACTCGGTATAACAATTATTTCATATTTCTTTTTCCAGTAGTAATTGAAACATTTCAAGATTTTGGCAACCCAATCTAATTAGAGGTGCCTGGGCTACCTCAGTAGCCCTGACTGATGAATGAGACAAGGACTTCAGTGTCTTTCCTAATTATAATGCTGGCTGTGTGGCTGGCTTATTTTTCAAAGACTTTTACCCCATTCTCATGATGACAAACTCCTAGGATCCTATTTTTCCAGTTTAACAAGCAAGCTATTTTTCTAAATGTAAAACAAGTAGTTTGTACCCATATAGTCTATTTATCTTGTGTCAACTCAGTGCTGAATTATTGTTTTAATAAAGGACTCTATAGTAAGGCATAGTAAGCCCAATCCACTGATTGTGTCAGAGTGCTGCAAGCAGTCTTGTTCTCGTGTGCCACAGTCTGCCACCAGCAGGTCATCTTCCCATGCCCTAATTTATTGAACAAATTTGAACAGGCATGTAAGTGCTGCTTTTATTATTCATTCCTCCTCTGGAATATTTGCCGGCCTTAGCTGGGGCTTTTTATGTGCTGCCTGCCCCCTCTAGTGTTGAAAAAAGGAAAAAGGAAAAATACTAGCTTTTATGATTTTGCTGAAAATCAGACGACCAGAATGGAATATGGCTATATATGTCAGGGCTGTCAGCACTTGCAGTTTTTAATCACACCTTGTGATATTTTATGTTTTGGAGCTGCTAGCCTCTATAGCTTCCCACTTTATCAATAAAAGTAAAATAAATATCTATCATTCATTATTCCTTGAGAAACTCCTAATATCTGAGGAGAGGAAAAAATAAACAAACAAACAAACAAACAAAAAGACTGCAAAAGTTTTCCAAACCAGGATGTTTTAACATATCTGTCTAGTGATTTCTGAATGCTTGATGTTGGTAAATGGTATCTCCATGTTAGTACCAGAAAGCCCTGCCAGCTCCTGAGGTTTTCTGCTAAACACAGGTTTACCTGTGGTTTTTTTGCAGCAGGCTGAGGCACCAAGAGCAGGGCTGCACCTTGGAGCAGCACACGCCAGCCCTGACCTTCAGGGATGACAGAGAAACAGCCTGTATCCTGGTGACCAAGCTGAGCTTCACTTTCTAATGCTCCCACAGCGAAGGGAAACTGCTTCAGTCCATCTTTATCATCCAGATGTTTAATCAAGCTCAGCCTTTGTTCCATATGTTGTGAAAATAAAGTTATGGCAGGTATTGTCTCCTTCCATTCAATACTCCAGGCTGCTCCCCTTCTATTCAGTGTTTAGTCTGTTTTCTGCTGGCTTCTCTGAGTAATGCCCTGATCCTGACTTCACAACTCATCAATACAAACACTAACTCAGCCAATCCATGTAGCTTCGAGTGGAAGACTGTGTTTTGAAATACAAACGGGCTTTTAAAAAAAAAAAAACAAACCTCTAAAAACACGCATGACTACAAGATGCTGACATTGGACCAGCTCCTCAGAGGTACTAAGCACCTGCAGCTCCTACTGCAGAGGTGCCTCTGGGGAAACCGGCACAAAGCAACAGCAGTGCGTGGCAGGTGCTGCAGTTTTCACTTTATCTCAGGAGATTAAAGTTCAGTGTTGAAACACGCTCTGAAATATGCGGGCAGAGATGGCTCACGTCAGCACTCCTGCGAAGCCCCTGCTAGCCATCCATCCTGCAGGCGCAGTGGGCTCCTTTCCTTCTCCCCATCCGTGCGCTCAGTAACCACTAGATGTCCCTTGGTGACCACGGAGGGACAACTGGGTGCAGAGACCTCTCCGGGGAGCGATTCCTCCCTCTCTGCAGCCTGGGAAGGTTTTCAGGCAGGAGGGGACTGAGCTGTGCTGCCCCTTGGGCTGACAGCAAGGAGGAGATTTGGAGAAAGACGTCTGCCCATCTTCAGGCCACGCTGCAATGCACAGTGGCAGCACTGCAGCTGTTCAAGCAACAGTTTTCTAGAACTACTTATCGTGGCTATTTCCTTTTACTTTCCCTAATTCAGCTGTTTTTGAGGATGTAGTTGTTTAGGTTGAACATTAGCAAGTACACAAAACGAATAATGAAGACTGCATCATTCTTAGCATGAGGCAGCCACCCAAAGAAGAGAGGAGCCAAATGGTTATAAGTCTGGCAAAAAAAAAATCAGGTGCCATTAGAAGAGTTTGGTAGCAGGAAGGATTGGGCAACCTTGATAACTGGCCATCCTGTAACAGTAATTTCTCCTTGTTTACCTAAAAATGGTCAGAAAACTTGTCAAATAAAGGATCCCTCTCCAATGGGGAGTAAGAAGAGCACCTCCTGATGACAAGCCCTCTGCCAAGTTGTCCATCTTAAGGTGGGATGTGCCCTGCTCTCCATCAATCAGACAGCAGTGACAACTGGCTTAGACCGAACATCAGCCTTCAGTGAGATGGACGGATACGGAAATGATTCAACAATGTCGTGATCCGATTTGTGCATTGACTCTTTCCACCCCAGCCCCTTACCTTGCAGACCGTAGAGCTGGCCAGTGCTGTGCTGTCGCGTGATGTGCTGCCAGTAGGCACTGCGGGGCAAGGGCACCATGGTGCTGAGGGACACGGCTCGCTCGCTCATTTTCATCTGAAGCTGCAAAGCAGTAAACTGATGTGAAGGAGACAGTCATGTTTATTGCAAATCCTCCGAGAATAGCACGACCACCAGCTGCAAGGACTTCTAACGATATTGCCAGCACAGCCTCTCCCTCCCTCCCTCTGCCCACCCTACACGAGCAGAGGCAACTGAGGGGTTAGTCTCCAAGGGCACACACCACTCGGGTTAGGAGGCCATGCTGCTGTTGCACACCAAAGCTCACCTTGGTGCTCCCCTGGTCCTGGGCTAGCACTGCTTCCCCTGAGGGGAGTTTTAACTCAAGCAGCTGAAACAGAAACCGGGGATCAGTGGAAGATAGGAAAGTGCTGGTATGGTCCCCCTTTAGCAGCAAAGCCATCCGAGGGTCTTCCCAGCTACGCAAGCAACTTGCCAATGCTAAATACAGCCTCAGCCCATCGAGAACCCGACTGGAGATGTTTCACATGGGTGAGGACAAGTTATTCTTGTTAATTTTGAAGCATTTTCTATTCATCTCCCATCTCCTACAGCTGAGGAGTGTGCCAGCTGGATGGCACAGGAGTTCAACACAGGAGATAACTGCATCCTTCAGCTAAATTCCTTAAACAAACAGCACATCCAGGTATGCTGAGAGGAGAGCACGTGGGCTGCAGTGCATTGCTGGAAGCCCCATCTCACACTTCCCCATTTTTTGTAGGCCTTCAAGCTACATTTTCTTACATAATCACAGTCCCTTGTTAGTTATACTATACTTAACACAAAAATATGAGAACTGACTACTTTAAGGCATTTTTTTCCATTAATTTAATAAGATGTATGTGCAGGCTGATAAAAATAATTGTATTTCATCATAAGCTTCACAGTACAGCTAAAATTCTCCTCCCAAAGCTCAGGAAAACATCAGTTCAAACATACCGAGACTGTACTTGACTTTTCTAATTTATAAAAAAGATAGCTTTTTACAGAAAAGTAAGCTTTTAAATTTTAGTTTCACAAAACCTGAAGTGAAAGAACCTTTTACAAGATCATCAGTATATTCTGGAGCAAAACCAAACAGGCAAAGCAAGCACAGAAAAGAGGTGAGGACTAGCTGTATACAGAGAGACCCATTCCCAAGTTATTTAGAAGTGCCATCTACCTTCAACCTCCTCTCTGTACGGTGGATACTGTGCCTGTGATGTGAAGGTAAAACAAAACAAAACCAAACCCAGATCAGCTCCTGCTCTTAGAACACCCACCTCCACGTCAGCTGGATGTGAATCACTACACCGTGCAAGGTTCCACCTACGTTGTACAGCGTATTTATTACAGCTCCTTCACTAAAGCCCAGACACCCTTTGCAGTGTCACCACACACATCTCAGCACCATGGAAACAAACAATGATGGATCTTTTACTGGGAATAAAAATCAGCAGAGCATTGTGAGGATGGCATTTCCTGGCTGGAGATACTTTTTTTGGTGGTTCCATTTATTGGTGAGTTGGACAGCAAGCTAAGGCAGTTTGAGCAACAGTTTGGCTGTCAGGAGGAGTGCAAAAAACCAAGAGGCTATCCTGGGAGAAAAAAAGAGACACAGCTAGAGAAAGATTAGATAAAGACACAGAAAAGGGCCAGAAGGGCTGCTCCTCCTGAACTCAATCAGCAGGGGGAAAAATTAAAAAACCCACAGCTGGAGGTAAGAATTAGTATGTTATGTCCTGAATACACAGCGTTTCATCAAAACGCTTCGGACTGCGAGCAAAGGCAGCTTTAATGATGATGGATTTCATTCTCATAATTAACCTACTGTATCTCTGTGGCAACAGAAAGAGTACGAATAACTTGATAATGACCTGGCTTTATGCTGCAGAAGCACCCGGCACCATAAGCAGGTCGAAAACAGTCAGAATTGATATGCTGGAACACGCATGAGCAAAGGCTGCGAGCGGAGCGCCAGGCAGGACGTGCAACTCCACACGCCATTAATACAACAAATAATTTGTTAACTGGAGGGCACCTAATCTGTAGCCTTTCACCCTCTTCTGCCCAAGGAAGGAGGAGAATGCTGAAACCTGAAAGGAGATCAGGATCCCCAGAGCAGTTCAAATGCAGCTCCCTGCACACGTGGCGGGGATCAAGTTATGTTAAGTCACGCTTAAACCAAAGCAGCAGCAAAGATGTGAGCAGTGGTGAGGGACAACACAAAGCCACCCTGCAGCTCTGCTGGCTACGAGAGATCCGCAGAGGAAGGGGATGGAGAAGCAGCACTCGCAGCCAGCGGCAGCCAGTGCCGAGAGCAGCTGGGGAGCTGCTGTGCCACCTCTTGTCACCTGGATGAGAGATGTACAGAGCTATTCTAAGGCAGTTTGCTGGGCCAAAGCACAGCTCTGGGTCAACCACAGGGTGCAGTTGGTTCCCAGAAGTCTTGGGGGCTCAGGGAGGAAAGATTAAGTATTTTCTTTCTTAGATCCCACCTTAACAATCAGCAAAACTTGCATTAGAGGCAAAACCACTGTCTGCTAAGAAAAAAAAAAAAAAAAAAAAAAAAAAAAAAAAAAAAAAAAAAAAAAAAAAAAAAAAAAAAAAAAAAAAAAAAAAAAAAAAAAAAAAAAAAAAAAAAAAAAAAAAAAAAAAAAAAAAAAAAACAAAAAAAATCCCGCCACAAAACAAACCAACCAACCAAAAAGCAAACAAAAAACCCCACCCAAAAAAACCCACACACCAACATTCTCTCAAGCTAGCTGTGCACATGGCTCCAAAAGGAAAGGAAAGAAAGATGATTTAAGATTTGTTAGGTTTGGTTGGTTTCCTCAGGCTGGACAATGCAATTTTCAAAGATTTTGCAGAACAACTTGCACTAAGTAAACCTTCATCTTGGGATCCCCAATTGGAAAACATTGCACTCACTGTCTTTTTGAGGGAATTTTCTTCCCAGTGAAGCAAATTCATGTAAACAATCAAAATCAATTAGAACAATAATTGCTTAAGAAACATTTGCTAAATTCATTACAGCAAAACTACAGAATGGTATACTAATAAAAACAACTTCAGAAATTAGAGGGCACTAACATATTGCTGCCGTTTTGACTACTGTCCATTTTACACTAATACTCAATATTCTTCTCTTATTTCAAAAGTTAGTGAGCACCATTTCCACTCTTAATTATGAATCTCTGTGGAAATGGCCAGAGATAATAGCAGGTTCCAGCCTGGACAAACGCACTCGCACATCAGATGGATCTAGTGCAAAGTGCACACTTGAGCTGCTGAGATGGGAATAAGAGTCAGGGAAGGCTGCCGGTAAACTGGCTGATAATATCTTTCTGTGAAGCACTGAGCTTTAACTGCCAAAACTGGGAAGTTCACTGTTATTACTTTAGTGAGATGTCAAGTTGTAATGTCTTTTTTTAAAGCAACCTGAAGTGAGAACAGGCATAAATGACAGCAGTCAAGTCACAGCACTACTCCCACCAGTTTTCATGGCAACCAAATACTCACAAAAACATAACTTGAATAGATATTTTCTTTCCGTTGTCTGGCAATGCAAAAGTGAAAGGAAACAAACAGTTGGATGAGATGAGTTACCAAATGACCAGAATGGCTTCATGCATCGCTAAGCAAAGCCAGCTCTTTCTTCCCTTTAAAAGAGAAAAGGGAGAGGTCTTTGAATTCACTGAAAAGGAAAATAAACGAAACCCACTTGTGAAAGTGTCACAGACTCTGGTCAGCATATGCTCAGACCTCGCCAGAAAGCAACAACACATTGAGAGAAAGTGTCAGGGTGAGATTCCCAGCTGAGGAACAACTATCGCATCAATTTTCCACATGCATTTCAGGAGCCAGAGCCAGTTATAGTCACAAACTGAACCAACATACCGTAATATAAAGAGAGCGACTGCTGGGGAGGTGACAGACACATTATAGCCCACATGCTCAACAGTACTTGGCAGCTTTATTTTGCTTTATCAGCATGGGACATTCAACTCCCCCCTTTTTTTTTTTTTGCACAGGCTCCAGGAGCCCTCAGGTAGCTTAATACCATCTTCACCTCAGTCTTGGATAACCACATCACTGACGTAGCAGTGGTCAGGATTACAGGAGCAAACAGAAGACATTCAGTGTAGACTTAATTTCTCACCATCAGTATCTCTGACTTTCTACTTTTATTACCCTTTCTGTAAATAATAGCTCAAGCTTCACTAATACGAAAATTCACACAGGGTAAATAATTCTTGGAGATAGAAACAATATAGACAGCCGAGCGTGAAGTGCAAGCATCTAAAATGAACTCCTCGTTGAAGCATTCAAAAGCAGAAGAAAAACAGAGGGGAAATCAATCAATCCAAACAAAGATGTACCTTACAAATATTTTGTAATCAGCAAAATAAGACACCTGAGTTCTACACTGATACAACGATCCTCTGCCTAAACTTCTAAATCTGACTATCCTTGAACCCCAGAGAAGCCACCAAGTCTTACTGACTATTTCGGAACCAGACAACGTTTCTATGACAGACTTAGGAAACTCTTATTCAGGGGCGTATGGACTCATCTGAAACAATTATATTCCACTACTAAATTACAAGACTTTCAGTTCGCCAGGAATATGTTCATGTCCCCCACTTAGCACTCTAGGGTCTATAAAATTAGATTTAGGAGTTGTGGTTGGACACAGTGTTCATGAAAAAGCTTTTAGAGGTTGTGCAGCTGCTCTCTATTGAAATCTATAGCAACTGTACATCTGCTGAGTCTATTGGCACTTCTAAGACGGAAATTTTAGAGCACAGCATCAGACATCATCTATTAAAGATGCTATTACATAAGTGTAAAATCACCAAATATGAAATTGCCTGTAAGCCTATTCACTACTGTTACTGAACTTATCTCTGTTTTTTGAAAACGAAGTTGTGCTCTCAACAGGTTACTCAATCGCTTCTGATCCTGGTGGGCTACAAAGGTTAGCTAGTTATGCTGACTTACCCTAGCTTAATTTTAATCTGCTTAATTTAGTTACTGTTGTGTACTGGTATCATCTACCCATCTGTCTCAACTTAGATAATTTTGGATATTTTTGGACAAAAACTCCCTTCGCTAACTAGAACTATAAAGTTTTTTGTTTTAAACAAAAGTCAAGAAACAGCAAAGATGGTGTTAGATGATACTTTACTGGGAAAGGGAAGAATACCAGTGCAGCTGGCTGCAGTTCACCTGCTAGTTCTAACACTTGTGAAGGAAAGCAAGCAACGTGTCAAGCTCTTCCCAGTGAACCTGGAAGTGCTGGGAAAAGCATGTGGTCTAAATGGACACAGGGCAGAGGCTGTCACAAGAAAGGGTCCAAGTTAGCACTTCACCCTCACAGACACAGCGCTCTCCCACGGGCATTACAGAAGTGACCACATTGTAATGACACCAGCCAGAAGTTAACAGAGTAGCATCAGCTGAAAACTGGTATATCATGCTATAAATAGTGTGAAATAAATGTATTTTTTATGTTAAAAACCCATTAACTAGTCTCTTTCCTGTTGAAAGTAAAGACATTGCAGGACCCACATCGCCTAGAAACAGACTTGAATTTTCCTCACCATCCCACTTCAGTTATCCCACCTGCTCCACAAACGACAGAATTACCCATTTGCCTGCGTGCTCAGCTGAAGCAATCAGTTACCCAGTCCACAGGACTGGTCGGGACACTTGGAAAGAGTTTCCTATTGCCCCTCCTCTCCTCATTTGTTCCTCCTCATTGGACTGTTATTAAGAAAAATAACTTTCCTGTCATGTATTTGGCTTCCATTCTGTCTCAAGTCCAAGAAAGTGGAAGAATAAAAGAAATACAAGTACTTAAGACAATTTGTTCCCTTCCCCATTCCCTCAACATCCACTCTCATCTTTTCTTAAGTTTCCACAAGTAGTAATGGCATTTTCTGTTTCATCCCAGCTGGATCATCCAGTTAATACTGGGATAATTCATCGCTACAACTTATCCCTGAAACTAAGATGTTAGCACAATTACTGAAAGGATTAGACATGGATGTGGATAACAGCAGCACTTACGTTTACAGTAAGAGAAAGATATGTCTTATTGCAGGTAACATAAACCAATTACTACTGCCTGGAATAACAGCCAGGCTTTTCCACAGTTGTCCATTCTGGGCATTTTATACATTCCAGACAGCCTGTTATCTTCAGGATACTAATATTGCTGTCAGAGTCAACCTGTGAGTCTTGGGGTGTAGAGACCAATTGTGATATGGGATAACCAGAACATTCCTTTTCACTCTACTGGTTTCATGAAAAAAAAAAAAATGAAGTTAATAAGATCCTTAAACACATTAGGTGCAAGTGCCATAAAACTGCCTTCCTTAGACATAATGCTTTTGGGGATGCCACACTGTCTGTTCTCCATCTATATGCTAGTTTTGCATCTTACGCTCCTGTATTTCCTACCAGTCATGTGTGTCCCAAAACAAGTTTTAGGCACAAAAAGCACTTGTGGAAAACAGACACCCACTGAGAGATCAGACAAACATCTAGTCCTCCCCCATAGTTTAATCTGAACCATATGACTCTTTCCAAATCATCCTTGGAGTGCAGACATCAATTAGCAAATGGAAAACTGAGCATGAGCCACAACACTTTGCAAATAGATTGATGAGAAATGCTTCCAAACAAACTCATGATGCTGATTAATCAAAGGAACCTAATAAGAATGTGCAGTGACAGGAGCTTATCATCTCTGTATTAATTCACACTTACTGATAGCTTTGTAAACACAAAAATCAAGGACTATAAGTTTCCCTGTTGTTTTGAATCTTGAAAAACAACCCCAGTTATATCTACTGCCCTAAATATTAAAATCAAGCAGAATTTAATAAGAGCAATAATCAGACTGCTTACTATCTGTGAATCAAAACTTAAAATCACATTGAAGAAACATATTGTTCATTGGTGCCCAGTGCGAAGTAACAAGCATAACAAGCAGCCGTACCATTGAATTTTTCACACTCTGCAACAAGCGCTCGTGTTGTTCTGCTATGGCCAAAGCAGCCGAGTGAACCTTCTGATAGATTGCTTCCCCATCTCTGGTCTGAAAGATGAATAGTCCTTCTCCTGTGTCACACATCCTGCCAAAGCAAGAACAGATGGCATCCAAGTGTGAGATTTAAGTTTACAGATCACCATGAACAAGCAAAACTTTACCATGCTGCTCTAAAAGCGCTATCGCACAAGCAGTAAGAAAACAAAGGTTGTTGAAATACAGAAAGAAGTTATTTAAAAGTCTTTGTGCATGGGTCCTACCACCCCTGGTCCAATCTTACTATTTTAGCCCATATTTGTATTGCTCTTGCCAAACAGGGACTCAGCTAAGTACCACTGATCTATCGTAAGTGCTTAAGCTCTAGAGAGTTCATGCGCAAGACCCAGATTTTTAATATTTAGACCCCATATAGAATCTGTGCCAGGTAGGATTAATTTGTCTTCCCCTTTCAGACTTTTAACACTGCCTGTAATGAGTTTTGCAGTTTTGTCTTCCGCTTGAAATGATAAATACATATCCTCAGCATCCCAATTGCATTGTCTTATCATGGCTAACACATGATCAGCTAAATAAAAATGTATCCTTCCTCCCCTGAGAGGACTAAATTCTGCAGTAATATGGAGGATGGACATTTAAATGCCTCTTCCCTTTCCAGATAAGTTAATTGTATGATCTGCTTCTCTTTTACTATTGTAATTCTTTAATGTGCTTATCTAAAATAATGCATCCATATCCCTTAGAAAGGATTTGATAGTTTAGTTCAATAAATAAGTGCTCCAACTTCAGCCGCACAAAGACTTCAGCTCATTAAGACTGAGCTGCAGGAAGCAATACAGAAAAACATCTCTAAAAAAAGGAATTGCATTCAAATTTCTTATAAATCCATTTGTCAAATAGATGGAAACGAGGAATATAATCAATGGAAAACAGGAGTCCCTTCTCCATTCTTTAGTTTGCTTCTGGGAAACAACATGGCACGCAGTGCTCTCAACTTCAAACTCCGCTTCTCCTGGTACAGAACCCATAACTCTGTGCCCAAAGGCCCACGTTGTACAAATTCTGGAATGATGTTCGCCCCTTCTTCCCAGATCTGTCCATCCAATTCTCTAACTCATGTAGTGCTTTATTTAAGAACAACCCTATACAGTAACATACAACGCTGTCAGCCTCCACCCTGCAGTCCCCTGGGATACCACAGCTCTCCCACCCCCATCCTCAGGCACTTTTATTTGGCAACTGCTTCCATTCAAGCTGCAACATGGGATTAAGAGGGGGGTTTATTTGTTTTTATTTGTTTCAGTATTACCTTTTTTTAATTTTTTTTTTTAGCAGAGGGTATAGACTAGCCTCTGTCTGAAGATAAGCTCTGATGTCCTTCAACAACCTTCAGAAGTGGTCCAGAGCACCACCCAGCACCACCAAGGAAAGCAACGCAATATAGCGAACACAAACCTACCTCCCTGCTTCAAACGTGAACCAAGATGGGTCCCGCCCGTAGCGTCGGAGGGCACTTAATGGCCAAGAGATGAGTTTTACTCTGGGATTCTGGATGTCCCAAAGACAGATATTCTCAAATGTTATCTGCAAGGTACATTCCCCATGCACATCTAAATTAGGGGATGGCATCAAATACACATTGAATCTCTCTGGGAGAAAAACAAAAGGTTAGTCTAAAATCCCTGCCCGTTAAATGTACAAGTCATTAAAGGAATTTCCTATTTTCCACCTCTATTACAAGATCTTATTTCCACTTTGAACAATTAATTCAAAAACAAAGACTCAATTCGATCCAATAACTCAATAAACTCCAGGTTTGGGGCAGTCAGAATGCTGCACTCAAAGGGCGTCAAACATTTGTGCGTGCATTCAGACACCAAAGAGAACTGCAGCATCATAATCCTGATATTTGCAAACAATAAAATTGTGTGCATGAATAAATACATTGCAATTGCATTCGTGCATGTAATTAGTTAATTTGCATAAGAAAGTGAAGTAGCCATGAGCTGATGTTTTGCATGCAATTACTACTATTTATTATTTGCTTTACAATGCTGCCAAAGAGCCTCAGTCACAGACTGAAACGGTTGTACAGACATCATACAAGAAAACACGCAACAAACGATAGTCCCCATCTCCAAGAGCAACTAACTTGTCTGAGAAAGAAAAATGCTATTCCAAAATAATTATAGTTACCTTACTTATTATCTCCGGTAGCAATTAAAAAAACCCAAAAGCCAAAAATTCCGCCCCCCCCCAAAAAAACCCCACAAACCACAAAACAGGAAGGAGGGCTTGGAAAAAACAATTTCGCACCAATTTATTTCTGATATTCATATGCACAGTCCAAAAGACTTTAAAATAATGCAATTGAAGATTTAAAATGTCAACATTTATGTACCTACCACTCTGCTCCCTTTCTACTCCAGATGCCAACAGGTCAGGCTCTCCAAGGCTAATGTCATTAATTCGTGTTCCAAGACACTCCATCTGCAGCACCTTGCACCACTCATCCGCCTCAAGTTCTGTATAAACGCCCAGAAAATCTGTGTGTAGGTATAATACATCCATAATTTCAAATTAATGCTCTTATGTTTTCTAATGTGCGTTGCCATTTTACCCACCTGACTCACAAGCAAAGGTTTTCGATGTGTCATCATTAAAATAAATCCCAACAGCATGCTTCTTTGTGCTTTTTGGCATTCGTAATATATTCTTCACATTATTGAGCTCTGTGACCTGAAAAAGCACAATTTGGAGTTTTAATTAGGAGCTTGGAAAGATATATATCCATTATTGACTGGAGAAGGAGAGAAAGAATTACATCATGTTGCAAAGGACAGAGAAAAGGAGAGAGAGCATGAACACGCCTATGATTGCTCTTAAAGAAATGCAGCCTTGACATGAATCACCTTAGACAATCAACTTGAAGACCCTGGATGATGAAGCAGCCACATCCTCCAGTTCTCTCTTGTCTATACGTGAGCTTCAGTGCAACACCATCTGAACAGGATTTTAGCCAAGAGGCAGGTAGAATCAAAGCTCACTCCAGTTTGAGAAATATTTACGTGAAGGACATGAGAAAGACCAACCTGATGTAGCAGAAGCAGAGAGGTGAAGATAAAAATCTAAAGGATTCACCCATTTGGAGAAGCAAGTCCAGTTCCAGTACAGCTTTCATCGTGGAGGACAAAACTGTAAGAACGGTGAAAAGCTGCTCTCTAAATTATTTTTTGATGGAAAGTTGAGGATTTGTTAGAATGGTCCACTTAAAAAAAAAAAATAATCACAGTTTTAGTTATTAGAAAGCTGTTTAGCTTTAAAGATTCACAGGCTTGTAAACACAGATTTCTGTTGCTTCGTTGCCAAAAACTGGTTGGAAAAATAGCTTTCACGCCAAAAAAATAAACATGTATCTGTTACCTTGTACAGAGCTTCAGTAAATACATACTACAGTTGCTTCATATTTCTAACATCCACTTTTCACCCTCACAACCATAAGTAACACTCCTAAATTTGACTGAGGACTAATTCTTCATTATTTAAATTCCTTTTAATATAAAGGTTAAGACCCAGACAGGGAATCAGGAAGTTACATTTAAATATTCATTATCAGAAAACATTTCACTGATTCTTTTACATGGTAGGGGTTGAAGAGAGAGAGAAAGAGGAGGAATTTAACAGAAATGTTCCCAAGGCTGTATAACCTAACAACTTCACTACTTTGGTCTCATTAGTCCTGTGGAATAGTCTCATATCAAACTGTGTCGACTCTAAACAAAGAAATGCAGCAATTGCCTTATAGATAAGATTCAGAAAGTATAAAGAGTTACCAGTGTTGTAGGGTCCAGCAACGGAAACCACTCCTCTAGAGCATCGTGGGTTCACAGCACACCCACTGCATCTCTCTGGCCCTCCATCCTAAGTCACTTTCTTCTTGGAGTCAATTTATCGCCCGTTCCCTTCCAGCAGGGGAGAACAGATAACCAAAATCACATTTTCAAGCAAGACCCCTGCAAAGGTAATCTTACTGTGAATGGAAGGAACAAAGAGCAGTTGGTGGGCAATGTCTCCCCAAAATAAAAATAAGCAACACATCCAATGTCCAGAAACTCACTCTAGGGGCAGTAGCAGAAGGAAATAATGGAAGGAACATCCCATGGGGAACACACCAAACCTTCTGCATAGTTGCCAAATTTAGAACTCAGGTTTTTATAGCCTCCAGGTTCAAGATTTTGAGAAGTGTCAAAACTGAAACTTCCTAACTGTGCTTAATTTTGCATGAGCATTTTTTACTCTTCCAGGAAATCCTGTGATGGAAGCACATCCCCCAGTGCTAACAAGACACCGACAAAGTCATTGTTAAATATGACAAATCTGTCAAAACCTATTCCCATCGTGCTCAGCACATGACAGGTCAAGCACAAATTGCCAGCTGCCAAGTTCAAGTCTCATATATTTTTCTCATATGCCAAGAAAGGATTCAAATGCAAGAGGAAAAAAAGAGCTAGACTTTTTCATTCAGGACAGCAACCACCCTGACATTTATACTGAGCACATTTACATTTTCTGCAAGTGAACGTGTTAATGAAGTTTTGTACCTACGAGTACAAAAGTTAGCAGAAGCAGAATGTAGCCATACGTTTTGGTAGTGAATCATTTAGCTATCTAGGATTTGTCCTAATGGAAAGCTTATTTCTTAAAATCTGGCATGTCACACTCCTACTGCTGGATATCCCAGTAATTGTCTCTAGCGTGATGAATCCCGAGGATGCTGTGACAGGGCTCAGTGAGATCATGAAAGGTTTATACTAGTCAGGGAACAGCACACTGCCTCTCCATGCTGGCTCAGGAGCCAAAGCACTTTCAGCAGTTCGGAGGCTCAGAAGTACCAAATGGTCAGCTGCTGCCCATGTTCCCCGTCAGCCCCTGGTGATGGGTAGCGCGTGCTGCCTCAGCCCCTAGCAGGGAGACACCCTGCATCCTACTAAGGGAGACAAAGGACACTTGACCATGTGGGAGGCTGCTAGCTACTGCACAGGGCTGGGAAAGAAAAAACAACCAACCAACCCAAACAGTACCACTGATGACCCTGTGCTCAGACTGAGTCATGCACCTCCAGGCCAGGTGGGAGCAAATGTCCATAACACTGCTGGGAATGTGAGAAGGACAAGATTAAAATACTTGCTTTGTCTGCCTACACTAAAGGAGAGACATTTCTGATCACTGTTTCTTTTACTATGACTCCAACCTTGTACATCTTACCTTCACCACTCCCAGCATCCCTGAGACCACACTTTACCCCCCAAGTTGTCATGTTTTATTCTCATTAGGGCTGCAAGCTGCAACTACTGCCCAGTTTCCTACTGAGCAGGACACTGCCTCTCCATGCTGGCTCAGGAGCCAAAACACTTCCAGCAGTTCGGAGGCTCAGAAGTACCAAATGGTCTGCATTTGGTACTGCAACTACTGCATGAGCTCCTGCAGTCTCTGCAGCCCTGCCACAGAATATCCATCACCCATTTCCTCTCATTTCTGTACTACTAGAGACATCCTGTACTTTCCAGCCTCCGTACTCCAATCTCCAATCTCTCCCCTACCCACCCAAAGGCTTCCAGCCTTGCACACTATTGCTTATGTGTCATATCCACATTGCAGCTCTAGCACTGCATCATCTCTGAACCCAGCCACGGGGACTGAGATTTGCTCCTGCCAATATCTCAGATACCTGCGGTCTCCCTCCAGTCTAAGGCTTCACACCAGAAGCAGTGGGTCATTCCAACAAGATCTACCCAGCACACAGAGTAGGACAAAAGCCATGGACGTGCCTTGCAACCAAGAATTTTCTTTCTTTAGGTCTCCCAGTCAAGAAAAGTTTCATCAAAAGTTACACAGCAGCTCCTCCTCCATCCTATGGCCCAGCACAGCAATCTCACTTCTCCTCCCGCCGAGTGAGGACTGCCACTTTATGCTACAGTCACTTCAGTGGACCATTAGAGAGTTGTGCAAAACTCAAGGTGTCCAGAAGTATAATGGCTGGGTGACTTGACCTCATGACAGCATGACTTGCAACTCCTGCATTCCCCTTCAGAAACAACAAAATACGAAAAAAGCATGAATATAATGGCATCATTGTTTTGGAGCTAAGAATAGCAGTAATTTTTTCCTTCTTACCATAAATTCCTCTCAAAAGCCAGTTAGTTACTGCAGTAAAGCACTTCTTTGTAATCTCAAATGCAGAATAACATATTCCAATAGAGATTTTACAAGAATCAGCTCATGCTTGAAATCCCAAAGTTCATCCTTCTAACAGAAAAATTTGTTTTCATTTGAATATGCCTTCTCCTACATTTGCTTTTTATTACTGTACTCCCTCCACGCATACTGTGTTATGAAGAAGACAATGCAGATTATCTAAGACATTATTTTTTATCTGTTGCCTTTCAGTATTCACAGTGGTCTATTTTGCTTTTCTGGGGTATCAACCAGCAGTTAATTCATCTCTCTAAGCAAAAACTCTCCCTAAGTCAACATAAGAGCAGAGGATGAAGACAGAGAGCACACGAGTGTGCCACTGACCTGGGTGTTAGTGCAAGGGCAACTCAGACTGATGGGCTTTTCCGTGGGTCTGCAGGATGGGTGTACAGAGAAGGGAGGAAGGAAAAAGGGGTACAGAGATGGGGTGAACATGAACAACTTATATGAGGATGATTTTTTTTAATGTGTTTATAAAGCTCTATCCTAAGCCCCTTCCTCATCACCTCCGAGTGCTATATGCTGGGAGGAGGGACAGGGACCCAATAATATAAGTCCGCACACTGCAGCAGTGTGCAGTAAGTCAGGTGCTTCCAGGAATCACCTTATGCCCTGTGTGAACACAGACTGCCTGCACTGCAAAGCACAGCAGCCATGTACAAAAACACACTCCAAGAGCCCTGGCTCACAGCCTGGTCAAATAAAATTGCAGGTGATTTCATCCCTTGGGTGATATCTTGAAGAAATACTGAAATCAACAGTATTGTGTCATTAATTTCACTGATCATCAAATCCTTTGTAACTCATCTTTTAGCTCTGAACTGGGAAAAAAAGGGTATTTATATTTGGAGAAATGCTAGCTGCAACATTTGGCAGCTCCTGGGTTATTCTGTGCTACACTGACTGCTTGAGAGCTCTTGTATAATGGCATTTCACAGAGCACGGTCTGAAAGTCTTCACATGCATCTGAAGATTTCCTGATGGCATTTGCTTCTGTTGAGCTGCACAAGCTAACACCAAAGCATCTCCCTTTGAAGTGTGACAGACAGGTAGCCCCCAATTCTGACCTCTGACCCAGGTCCAAGTGTCTACAGTAATATGCACACACTCTAGTCTCTTCCCAGCTGGTTTCAGACTAAGTTTTTCTTCAGTAGGAGACCTAGCAGACACAGGGAGAATAACAGATGGACAAAATCTGACACTCTGGGACTCTGTGAAGTCGGTGGCATGCAGAAGAGTCACTTGAATTCAGTCTTTCAGCTCATGCATGCATTCTGTCCTGGATACAACCTTGTGGCACCTGATTTTTGTCTGGCAAAAATATACTCAATAGGCAGCTGACCTCTCTTCCCTTTTGGGACTGAGCCGCTGAAGTTGCCTTCACCTTTCAGAGGTTCAGAGGTACTCCAGTATGGTAATAGCCCCTTCTGGCAAGATCCAGCTTTAGCCAAGAAGCTATTCCTGCTGCCAAGGCTCAACAGTGC